CACAGAAGAGAGGAATGCACGGAATGAAGGTGAAACGTGATCATAGGACACAAAATTAGAGATAGGATGATTAGTCGTACAAGATCTAACACCCTTTCTCTTAGCGATAGGAATATCAAGATCATTGATGTTAGGTGAATCAACATTGAGAGGAACAAGCATATCAATAGGAGCAAGTGAACCTGGTTGATGAGACGGATCTGCCTCTAGTGAATCCGATGATGTTGGTTGCATAGTGTCAGGTTCCATGGCTCTTGAACTTTGCTGGCTTTTATGGCGACGATGAAAAACCCGTAATGGAGGAGGGTCGGGTAAAGGAAGTAGTTGAGTTTGAGTCGCCTATTTCTCCTTAACCCTACTCTCCCCCTGAGGAGAACTGAGAAGAAAGGTTGATTCTCAAAGAAGGATACATCAATGGAGACATAGTACTTGCGAGAAGTAGGATCATAWCAGCGATACCCCTTTTGAGATAAAGGGTAACCAAGGAAAACACAAGGAATAGCCCGAGGATCAAGTTTACCTCGAGTAGGGGACAAGTTATGGACAAAGCAACGACACCCAAAAACACGCATCAGAATGGTGGACAACGGAGCTGTAGGAAACATAAGCTGATGTGGGGTCTTATACTCTAGTAACCGAGATGGCATACGGTTGATGATGTATGTAGCATACAAAACTGCATCCATCCAAAAACGTTTTGGCACATTCATATGAATTAATAAGCCACGAGCTACTTCGAGAAGGTGACGGTTCTTTCGTTCATCAACACCATTTTGTTGGGGTGTCCTTGGCACAAGAACTTCGCTGAAGTGACCCACTCGAAGCAAAAAACTCCGTGAGATCACTATGGAAGTAATCCTTCGCATTGTCCGACTGGAAGATATGGATTTCAGTTTGGAATTGAGTGAACACCATGCGTTGAAAGTCTTTTACAATTTTTGGCACTTCATCTCTAGATTGCATAGGGTAAACCCAAGTGTATCTAGAGTAATCATCAATCAAGGTAATGGAGTACTTATATCCAGCCTCAATGGGTAGAGTAATGGGGCCCCAAACATCAGAATAAACAATATGAAATGGAAATTCAGATCTTTTATTTCTCAAAGGTAAAAAACTTCTACAATGTTTACTCAATTGACATGTCTGGCACTGTAACTGACTCACTGACAATGACTCAAACAACTTTGGGAACATAACTTTTAATGACTCAAAAGAAAGATGACCAAGACGACTATGCCATAATTAGGCTTGACTCTCACTTGACAAACTCATGGACTCTGTAGCCACAAGACCAGCTTTATTCTCCAACACATAGAGACCATCCACCATGCTTCCTCTACCAATCGTCTTCCTCGAGGCCAAGCCCTGAAACACACATGGAGACGG